TAATTGCTTTCCCTAGAAATTGCACCATTTTACATTTCCAATAGTAGCACATGAGAATTCCCATTTCTCCACACCCTCACCAGCATTTGTTGTTGCTGTTTTATTGACTTTGGCACTCTTGTTGAGGTTAAATGAGATCTCGTTGTTGTTCTTATTTGCAACTCTTCAAAAGCTAATGATCTACAGCATTCTATGTTTGTTGACCATCTGAATGTCTTCTTTGAAGTACTCCTTCATGTCCTCTGCTCTTTTTATAATTTGGTTGCTTATCTCTTTCTTATTTAGAGTTTGGAGCTTCTATAAATTTTAGAAGCATTTTCCCTGTTGGATGTGAAATTGCTAATTTCCCGCCCCCCCCTCCCCCCTCCCCAGTCTGTGGGTTCTCTTTTCACTCTTTTGTAGAAGTCTTTGGATTCACAGAAAAATTAAGTGAGTGTGTGTGTGTGTGTGTGTGTGTGTGTGTGTGTGTGTGTGTGTACCATCAAATCAGATCTGACTGGTACAGGAGGAGACTGCCCACTCCTCCAGCAGAGCATAGCATCTGGTGGATTTGAAACACATACCTCTGGGATTGCAGTGCAGCTTCTTGTCACTAGGCCACCAAAGCTCCCTAGAAAAATTAATATTTAAGAGGCTCCAATTTCTAGTTCATACTTGGCCATTTGGGCAATTTCAGTCATATTTGATAGTCTGTTTATGCCATCAATTAGGGCTCCTAAGTTTGTTCCAGCTCTGGGAGAAAAATGATCCATCTCTTTCCTGTGCAAGATACAGCCTCTGAGAACATGCTGGAGGGTCACCAAGAGGTTGGTTCACCATCACACATCAAGTTCACCTCAATATTTTCTTTGATGACCTTTGAAGTTTTAGGTTTTACACCTCAGTCTTTGGTCATCTTGAGTTCATCTTTTAATGTGGTCTGAGTTATGCATCTTGTTTCAATTTCTGCATGTAGACAGCCAGTCTTGGCAGCACCATTTGTTAAAAAGTTGTCTTTTCTGCATTTAATGGATTTCATCTCTTTGTCAAAAATCAGTTGTCCATAGGTGGCTAGACTTATTTCTGGGTTCTCTTCCATTGGTCTGTGAACCTCAAACTTTGAGCTTTTTGACCTAGTAATTCTGATATTACAAATTTTCTTTAACAAAATAAAAAGAGGAATGAGAAGAATTTAACCTAACAATAGTTTAACTTAACTAGTAAAGAATGTCTACCTTGAGCCTTGTGCTTTTTCAAGAATTATTGTTTGGGGATCAAACTGACCACTTACAAGATTAGATAAGAACATTATGGGTTAATGAAAGTAGGATAACTCAGAAAAGAAAGATAAGAGTAGTTGCCCAAACCATGTTATCCATGTCACTGTATGAAGAAACTGTTTAACTGATTCATGTTTTGTTGTTATACACTCAGCAATGAAAGAAAGATATTTTTTAAAACTGTTTATCTCAGAATTTACTTATAAGAGCAAAAATTTGAATGCTACTCGACTGTTTAGCTAAAAAAATAGCTAACTTTGAAATCATGCACAACCATTAAAAACTTATTATCACAGACTCGTCATACAGGAGACACTTTTGACGTTTTCTTTTTGGAGGAGGATATGCAGAGAGAGGAAAGACTAATTTTCTCTTGATGTAGAAAAGTGAGAACTTTCCTTTTTGTTTTATGTGAAGGTATTTAAAAATTTAAAGATAAATATGGACTGCTGTTATGTTGTTGTGTGCTGTTGAATCAGAATTGACTTGTAGCTTACCCTCCAGGGGTTTTTCAGAAACTGTAAATCACACAGGAGGAGACTGCCAATCTTTCAACCAAGGAACAGCTGGTAGTCAAACCACCTTCTTCACAGTTGGCAGCACAACTCCTTATCCACTAAGCCACAAAAGCCCCCTATTATTACAGCGAGATAAAACAAGTTTCAAAACCTTAGAAGGTTTAGACTACAAATTAAGCTTTAAATTAATACTTTGCTAAAACAGTTGGATAATTTATGATCTAAAAAAATCTATCATAGAACATTATTTTAAAATGGATTTCCCTCATTATTAGGCATAATTAAATAATTACTTGCCTATACACTGGGTAAAGTTATGCAAAATAAATTTCTAATAGTTATTCATTAAGTGTTGGAAGGAGGAGTGGAATCCACTTCCATAATAGCTTACCTCCAGAAACCCTATGAACCTGGAGAGAGGATGAAAGGCACCCAAGCATCGAGGACTCTCCTTCATAGGGTTGCTATGAGTCTCCTGCGAATCGATGGTACTTAACAACAACAACAACAACAATTCATTAAATGCGAATGAATCTCTACTCACTAGAACAAGATCTCTACTTTTGTGGAGTTTTAAACTCCTAGCCATCCTTTGGACAAAGGACAGCTGGCCTGAAGAATTTCCAAGACTATGAACCTTTTTTTTTTCTTCTTTTTTTAATTGTGATTCTAATGAAAGTTTAAAGAAAAGTTGGATTTTCATTCATTCATTGTTGTACGTTTTCGTCCCTCCAGGAGTTCACTTTCTTTCTTTTTTTTTTTACAGAATCATTTATTGCTGCATAATTTTCCCCCTTCCTCACCTTTCCCCCTCCCCAGTCCACTTTGCAATGCACCTATTATTCTG